TAACTGAAACGGAATCCTAGTTATTTAAATATATTTAAGATCCTGTTATATATATATATATATATATCTACCCCTGGCTACGGTAATTATATCTATAGAGTCYWACGACTCTCRCTRGATATMTTATATTTAACTGGTCGTTCCCCCGACCACGTTACAGTAGGTAGGTCCCCTTAGGCGTTAGGCGTAGTTAGCTGTAGGTGTGTAGATCGAATCCGTGAGCGCCGGTTTGACGGCGGCAACGACGATCGTGCGTCCGGTTCATATTTTGCATTTTTTTTTACGTAATTTTGTTTTAATTTTATACTTTGCCCCACCCGGTAACGGTGACATATTGTTATATGTTTATAGAATTATATATGACGTATTACCACGGCAGCATAAAGTTCTTGCATTTTATTCAAGTTTTTATAATAACTGTAATCAGTGCCTGATTTAGGGGGGTACCTGGGTGACTAGTCACCCGGCCCCAATTTGGAGCGGCCCCAATTTGGAGCGGCCCCAAACGTTTTGCTAGTTTTTTTTTTTTATTGTAGAATCATAAAATTTAAAAAAAAGAATAATAAAAATTGTCATAAWATTATATAATATTAAATATTATCTATGATATTGACTTCGTACATTATTAACGCTATAAGCATATAAATTATAAATATTATATCAGTGGTCTTCACCAATAATAATTATTAAAATTTAAAAATAACAAAACTAATAAAGACAATAATTATCGTCATTCGACATTCTCTACTATTAGAGAYTAACGATGTCCATGTGTTATAAGCAATTTAATATAGGAGTTGTGTAACCAGTATATCTTAAACCGTGATAAATACTAAAAATGTGATAACATGTGATAATATGATGATAACATTCATAACATTCAAATAAAATGCGATAAATGATCGTACTAGCATCGTGCATGTTCAGTTATTCTGGTTATTCATCAATCATCTTTATTCTATGCAGTTATTAACGTTATTGTCAATTGTCATCATAGTCAATATTTCTGCAGTAAATGTGAATGTTATTTTGTTTTACGCTTTTATTACGTACAAGATGTCTGGATTAAAAAGAAAATATATGGGAGGGGCGGAAAAACTTCGAATCAAAGCTAATAAAAAAAAAGAAATTGAAAAATTAAAAGGTTCTCTTGACAATTACATGACGAAAAAATTAACAACACCAGAAACCGTTATAAATGAATCAATAGAAAGTAGCTTAAATAGTAATAGTGAAGCATGTTGCACCTCTGGTAAGTATTTAATCTTGTAAATAATAGTAACTTGTAATAATTTTAATTATTGTTATTGAACATTTTTATATTTTGTAGATTTAATTGTTAAAAACTCTGATACTAGTTGTACTAGTACTCAAAATGACTCTGTTTCAATCGACCAAGGGGTTCAAATAGAAGACAATATTATTAGCGGTGAAAAGTGTAAAGTTGATTCAAACTCATTCATAAAAGGTAAATAATTGGATAGATACTAATTAAAAAACAATTTGCTGTGTGTACAAGTTATATATTATTATTTATAGTTTTGGTCCTTATTCTTTAATACAAAATTATAAATAAATTATAACAAATAAGAAAATATGTTGCATGTCTTTGTTCACTAACATTAATAGTTTTAACAAATAATTTATAATGTTTGTTCGTGTGTTAAATGTTTTTGCTATACATGTTTCAGATACTCAAAATTGTCTAAAACTAGAAAAATGTTTTATTTAACTGTGATTTCAATGTTTGTTGGTATATCAGATTATAAATATTTTCTTAATTCTTATATTATACTATATTGTTTGCATGTATATTTGTTTATTGTGATTGGTAAAACAAATTTGAATTTAACAAAAAAATAATAATGTATTTTAGTGTAATTAACTACCTATATTTTGTATTATGTAAATGCAATCATCATATATATATATATTATTTTTATAATTTGTGAGATAATATACATTAAAAAGATTATCATAGTAAGTAATAAATTTGTTAAAAATATTAAAATAAAGACTAACTATATTTTAACTGTTGTTATTAATATGTTTTTGTGGTAATAACATTTTATATACATACCTTTTTTATCTAAATCCTATGGTTTCCTATGTATTTTAATGATTAAAATATCATTAGGTTGTGGAAATGATGAAATAGATTACAGCAAGTTGAAGAAAAATGATGCTTTATGGCCATTAAAAATCTCAAATGAATTTCAAGAATTTTTTGTGATGGATCCTCCTGACCAAAATATGGATAAAATTAAAAACTCAAGACAGTTTTTTAATGGTAAAAACCCAAAATGGTTGTCTTTGCGAATTTCTCATTTTTTTTTTACTGAAAAAAATCAAAATAAATTTGAAAGAGAGTGGCTTGTCTATTCTGAAGAGTCTAAAAAATTATACTGCTATGTTTGTAAACTTTTTTACCCTGATGATGATAAGTTATGTAAAGATGGTTTTGATGATTGGAGACATGTTTCACGACGTCTTACTGGACATGAACGTTCGATAAATCACAGAAAATCAGTGTGTGTTTTATCCAACCGTGCAATGAAAAATAGTCGAATTGATCAAGACATTGTGTTGCAGCATAAAAAAGAAGTTGAGTATTGGAGAAATGTGCTTAAAAGAACTGTCGCAGCAATTAAGTTTATTTCTCAAAGAGGACTACCATTTTTTGGAGATGATGAAAAGCTTAATTCAGCACATAATGGAATATTTTTAGGTATATTAGAGTTGATTAGTGAATTTGATCCATTTTTATCAAATCATCTAACCACATATGGAAATAAAGGATCCGGAAATACAAATTACATTTCATCTTATACTGTTAGAAAACTGATTGATCTAATGGCTAATAAAGTATTAGATCACATATTAATGGAAGTTAAATCTGCAAAATATTTTGGAATTATTGTAGATTCTACACCCGACATAACTCATAATGATCAGATGGCATACGTGTTGAGATATGTTGATGAAAGTGGTGAAGTGTTTGAACGTTTTATTAAACTTGAAAATATTCATGGTCATTCAGCAGAATATTTATTTTCAACTATAAAAGCTATGTTTGATAAAGTAGGACTTGACATAAAAAACTGTGTTGGTCAGTCTTATGACAACGCTGCTAATATTTCCGGTAAATATACTGGACTCCAAGCTCGCATTAAAGAGTTATCTCCTGTAGCAACCTATGTTCCATGTGCTGCACATTCAATACATTTAGTAGGAGTTAATGCAGTTTCATCAAGCACTACAACAGTAAACTATTTTGGTGTTGTCCAAGCATTATATGTATTTTTTTCTTCTTCCCCTCGTAGGTGGGAAATTTTGTGTGAAAGATTAAAATCAAACGAATGTTGTTTAACGTTAAAGTCAACATCACAAACACGATGGTCAGCTGATGCAAACGCCATAAAAGCATTAAGGCTTGGATATAATGAAGTATTGGTAGCATTGGAAGATATCAGTCAAGATCTAAATCAAAATCCAACAATTCAAAATGAAGCCAGGCAACTTCTTTCGAAGCTTAAAAAAAAAGAAACTGGTGTCTTAACCACAGTATGGAACTCAATTTTACAAAGAATTAATAGCGTTAACAAGGACTTACAATCATCTAAAATTAATGTCTCAGCTATAGTTCCCCTTTATACTTCATTAATTGATTTTATTCAAAGTGTCCGGGAAAATTTTACAATGTATGAAGAGGAAGCATCCAGCTTAAACATTACTTCAGATTATTCACTAAAAAGAAAAGTGAAAGTACCTAAAAGTAAACATCTAGATGATACATACAGTCCATGTACCGACTTAACGTCCAGAGAAAATTTTATTATCAATACATATTATGTTATATGTGATAAATTGATTTTTGAACTTAAAAAAAAAAATAGTGCTTATTTAGAAATAGAAAAAAAGTTTAGTTTTTTATTCAAAAATAATATGAAAAAGTCAGATATTATCAAGAATACATCAAATTTATTGGACCATTTTCCTGATGACTTGGATAAAGAAACCTTTGTAGATGAAATGCTACAATTCCAAGAATTAAAAATGTCATTGTTTAGCGATGATAAGACTATAGATAATCCTCAATACCAACTTAAATACCTAAAATCGATGAACATAAAGCATACGTTTCCCAATATTGAAACTGTGTTACAAATCTATTTGACGATTCCTTGTAATAATTGTAGCAGCGAACAATCATTCTCAGCGTTAAAACGTGTAAAAACTCGATTGAGATCATGTTTATCTCAAGATAGACTTGATAATCTGACTCTGTTAACAGTAGAACACGAAATAACAAAACAATTATCATATGATGACATCATTGAAGAGTTTTCGAAGAACCCTGAAAAAAAATCAATGTAATCTAATGTGACATGTTATTATATAAAATAAAATAAATTATACATTTTTGAATAAGATAATATTAATAAATTTATATGAGGCCTCTTTTTATTTAAATCCCCGGCCCCAAAATTTGTAAATCAGGCTCTGACTGTAATGATTTGTCCGTTTCGCAATAATTATTGTTCAGTGTACAG